TTATAAAATAATTATTTTATAATAAATTTATTAAAAAATAATATTTTTTAATCATTATGAGTGTTTTTAGCCTCTGTTTTTTGAGACTGTAGCAATGCTTATATTAAATAGATAAAAGGAGGTTTCGCAATTGAAAGCATCTTAAATCATATTTAATTTAGCCTTTCATTCCTTTTGGTAGATAAATCTCAATTTTTCTGATAAATTTTTTATAGTCTTCTGATCAAAAAATAAAATTTTAGGTTAAAATGAACATTATTAAATTTTAACTAATCATAATAGATCATGGTACTTGATATAAGATTTGTCAACATGTTATGTGGTGTTATCCCCTATTTACTATCTTAAACATTTAAATAAGTGAGAATAAAGAAATTCATTTGCTAATTCCTACGTAATGTTGTTATAATCCGTTTATGCAAATTTTATGAGTTTTCTTTAATTTGTGGCTATTTTTTTTTTCACGCATTATATTTAATTAAACTGTTGAATAAATAATAATAAATCAAAGATTTGAAGTTACAGGAAAGCAAGATTTTAATTTTTCCTTCTTTCACTTAAACAAAAATCATTACAATTTTTTTAAAAAAATCATTGAATAAGTGTTTAGACAAGAGGTATGTAACAGATGAAAGACCCGCACCCACAAATCCTCTCTTTCTCATTTTTCCCTTTCTTCCTTCCATTACTCTATTCTCATTCCTTTTCTTGGCTGAAACCTAGTTGTTGGTGTTTGATTTGGAAGGTGGAGCTATTGAGAATCAAGGAAAGCAGTAAGGCTAGTCTTCCTCTCTAAAGTAATTTCATTTCATTTCTTCTTCTTCTCTTTCCTGGGAGCTAGGAATCGGAATTTTTCTCCCTCCGAGGTAAGGGAAGCTAGAATTTGTTGATTTTTGGAGTGTGTAGAATTAGAAAGAGGGGTTTTGAGTTGTTTGAAGAATGTGATGGTTTGGGTCGGATTCTTGTTGCATGTGGGGTTTGTGATGTTTTATGAGTTGCATGTTGATGGTAGGATTGTCTTCTTGCAAGTGCAGGTGTTGGGTCCCTTCGGATCTAAGTTTTGATGGGTTTTGGGTGAAAAACATGTAGGAAGCCATGGAAGGGCAGAAAGTTTAATCTAGAGTGCTGAATTGAACGCTGGATTTCTGGGGCTAGAGGACCGCATTTGGTCTTAAGGTCTTCATAAAAGTTGTAGCCTTGGATGTTAGTTTTTCAATGGCACTGGAATCACCCAAAAAGAAGGTCTGAAACTCCATATATGTTTGTTTTAGTGAATAGGGGTCAAGCTGTCAGCATTGATTGTAGTTGTTGCGGTTTTTAAAATTTTTAACAAAGTATATGATAGAGTTAGGACTAGATGTCTCATAAGAGTTGTAGGAAATCTTCTTATCTTTCATATGAGATAAGGATGAGCATGATAGGAGTAGTATAACTCTAGATATAGCTATTTTAGTGAACAGGGATTAAGCTGTCAACATTGGTTATAGCTGTTGCGGTTTTTAAAATTTTTAACAAGGTAAATGATGGAATTAGGACTAGATGTCTTCATGAGAGTTGTAGAAAATCTTCTTATCTTTCATATGAGATATGGATGAGAATGATAGGAGTATTATAAATTCATATATGTTGTTTTATGTGAAGGTTTCCATTTCACAATAAGTGATTTGGTTAAGTTGAAAGTTATTTTGAGTGCTTAGGTTGTTTTATGTTGTTTGTATGTGTAAGTTGGCATGATAGATGAGTTGTGAACATATAGTATGAGTTGTATTATGTGATGAAATGTTGTGTGTTGATAATAGGTGATAAAATATTGAATGTTGTAAGTGGTTAGAGATGATGGCATAGCATGGGTTGAAGTGTTGAATTGAACGCTGGATTTCTGGGGCTAGAGGACCGCATTTGGTCTTAAGGTCTTCATAAAAGTTGTAGCCTTGGATGTTAGTTTTTCAATGGCACTGGAATCACCCAAAAAGAAGGTCTGAAACTCCATATATGTTTGTTTTGCCTCCGATCTTGCTTGAGAAAATATGATCTGAAAATCCTCCTGTTCAGAAAAATAAACATGTTATATGATGAAATGACCTATTAAATTTAAAAAAGAGGAAATATGTAAGAAGGCAAAAAACTGACATATGTCTTCTTAGATCTTCGATCCACAAAATCACTGGTTATCTTACGAACATGAGTTTGGTGGAAAACCTCATCAACATGTACAGAACGCCCCAACTCTTGTGCCTATAAATAAAACTAATTAATCATGATAAAATAGCATTCAAGTTCAATAACAGGGTCTTTTTAATGTGCATACCATGCGAAGGGCATGCTCGTGAATGGTGATTGAGCCACCTGTGTGCAAACTTCCACCCTTCTCAGATGCTCGATTCTTTTGATTACGAGCACTCTTTGAGCGAAACTCAGGCTGGTTCCACTTAGCTAGCAATTCATGCCATACTCTGTCAAACATCCAGGTAGGTTTTTTTCCAGTTTTTCTTGCTTCCAGAAACATCTCAGAAAGTCTATGAGAAGCCTTTGTGTTGAAAATCCTTCTGATCTTCTCATCATGTTCAGGTCTCCAAGTAACCTTTCTCTACATTAAGAGATAATGTAGTTATGACATTGAGTATTAAAGTTAACAATATGTGGAAAAAATGCACCTGTTTGTACAACATGCAAAAACCTTATACACACATATTGGTAAAATCATACAAAATTAAAACAAATGTCAAAGGTTGCAGAAAACAGTAATGCAAATTATATAATTTATTAAAACAAAACGAATGCTCTTAATCAATGTTAATATTACTATGTAATGATCTGCAGAAATGAGGCAACAACATAATAATATATAAAAGACAGTATAATTAAGAATTTTGATATGCATGGTTTCCAGGTTTACAAAACCTTAGTCAGCAGCCACAAATGCATGCAATATGTACATGTAGGATTTACGAATGGAACCTGAATTAGGGATACAACCTGCAATTGTGCTAAATGAACACACAATGCCCATGCCTAACATACTGCTTAGTGCTTACTAATTAATAATACTCGAATATGCCATTGTTCACTTCTGAATTTGCTCATTTTGTTTTCAGACATTAAACTAGATGTTCATTGTTAATGCTAGTAGCGGGTTCAACCTACTATTGAATACTGCAAGAGGGTTTCTTGATCCAAGGACCACATCCAAAATACATGTATCTATTTTTCTTTGTATATTTTCAGTTTAGAAAGGAACAAGCATAGTATAATGATTCATGCTGAATCTACAGGTTTTAGGCAACAAGTTTCAGAGCAGATTGTTAGAGATTATAGACGCGAGACTCGAGCAGCTGGATACAACATGGCTGAAAAATACATCACCTTTAAAGATTATTTAATTTGAATTCTCACTAATGTCCTTAAAACAGCAAATTAAGTATTTATTCCAGCTAATATAGGAATTTTTCAGGATTAAGTATAATGGATATAAAACAGCAATTTTAAAACAAATTTTAATAGTAACAGAATAAGATTAAAAAATAATTTTGAATTGAACAATAACTTACTTATAAAATTTAAACTAGAACAACTTTAAAATAGATTTATAACTCTTGAGGAACAAGATTCAACTTACAGGAATATATAAGAGCAATATTCCTACTGCTGTTCAGTTTTAACTCTTAATTTTATCAAAGATGAATTTTAAATACCTTCAACCAGAATATTGAAGTGAATTTGTATTAGGGGTAGGTTTGAAACAAAAGCTTGCCTTGAATCTTTGGAAGAAGACATTCTTCTCTTCATCTGACATTGCACCCCAGGTCAACCATGGTTGAACGTATTGTTGCTTAATTGTCTTTGTGATTGCCTTAGAGGCAACTCTGCTTGGATAAAACCTAATATACAAACAAAATAATTGAAAATACGACGTGAATATGAAAAAAATTATATATGTGATGTACAAATAATGTTTTAAAATTTTTTTCATTATTACCCATCATTACAAGGTTCAATAATTTCAAGCACTGCACCAATAGGAGGGTCATCATCAACATATGTAGATGCTTCACTTGCTTCAGTTGACATTTGTTGGACTACCTTTGGTACATTTTGATTACGGCACGATGGCATTGAGATTGGTGAAGCATTATGTTGAGAGGGGGAAGATAATGATGTGCCTCTAGCACCAGCACACTGGGAAGCCATAGAAGAAGGTATAGGTTGCGAAGGCATTGGTTGAACAGTGGGAGGTTGGGAAGTCATGGGTTGAACAATGGAGGGTTGGGAAGGGGTCTGTTCATCTACTAATGGTTGGGAAGGAATGGGTATAACATTTTCGGCTTCAGAAGGAATTGGTTGAACAATAGGGGATTCAACTGCAGGGGCTGTTTGTAATGGTATTTTAATAATATATTTTGGTCGCTTTCCCTTAGTTGTGCCTTTTTTCCCTTTTTTGGAAAGATATGTAGTTTAACATCTTTCAAAGATATGCAGTTTTTCACATTTATATTAGTAGAAGTTGGAAAAAGGCATCAATACATGATGAGTGTAAACAAATATAATGATGACAAAGGTTTATGAATCTAATGAAAATACTTGATCAACATGTTATGATGCAGATTTGAAAGTACATATATATACTATGACTAATTTTGGTATTCGAATGCAAATCATTTATCTTTCAACTATACGCCTAATCAGAATTGTCATCCTCCAATTCCATTTCTTCATTGTCTTCTTCTGACTCGTTGTCATCAAATTCCCCTTCATCATTGTCTTCTTCCAAATCATTGTCTTGAAATACCTCTTCTTCAGTGTTTTCTTCAGTGTCTTCTTTTGTTGCTTCTTCTTCTACTTCAACACCATGATCAGAATCTCGGAAGCCTAAAATAGGTTCAACTTCTACAATTTCATTGACATGTGAAACTTGGTCTTCTTGGTAAGGCACATCATCAACTACATCAGTAGCTTCTATGCGACCTCTAGGTTTTGTCTTGATTACGGCACACCAACCACGTTTATCTATTCGTGACGGTAGATAAGACAGATAGTATACTTGTCTGACATTCTGAGCAATTATAAATGGATCATATGGCACATATCTTCTATCCATTCGAATATCAACAACATGGTTTTTAGAATCCATCCTTGTACCTCTTCGTGAGGGATCAAACCAGTCACAATAAAATACAATTACTTTCTTCGAAGTGCTTGAAGTATTGTACTCTAGCTCGTATATGTTTTTAATGACCCCGTAGAAATCATCTTCACCTCCTTCTATAAGCCCTTTTACAAAAACCCCACTATTTATTGTCTTTTTACCTTTACTCCATGCATCAGTGTGGAACTTATATCCATTCACATATAACGTGTGCCATTGTTTAACCTCGGTAAACGGGCCTTGTGATAAATCTCTCAAGTGTTGGTTTGTTACACTGAAAGGCTCATTGTAAACCTACAGTACAACACAAAGTCAATGTCATATTTGATTTATTAGATATTTAAAAAGTAAATTATGAAACTCGTACATACTTGATCCTTAAACCAATTAGGAAAATCAGCATGTACACGACTAGAAGCAGTTGACTTAGCTTCTTGGTGAGATTGGAGGAATGACCTATTCAGAAAAGTCATTGAAAAGGTTAAACATTGAAGAATTTTTACTTTATAATAACAATGTTTAGGGTAGTTGGAAAATATTTACTCAAGGTATGGTTTCACTTCTGTGCAATTGATCAAAACATGAACATGGGCCGAATCCCATTCTCTTTGGGTTAACCAGTGGTTCGATGGCTTCCCAGAAGGACGACTTGGTTGATTAAAGATGGACAACGATGGTAGACAGCTTTGGCTTTCAATTCCCACTTCATTTCTACTACTTCGCGATGACAACATATAATTTTTGAAATAATGGGAACAAAAATGAGTTGTTTCTCGGTGTATGTAAGCTGCACATATCGATCCTTCAACCCTTGCCTTATTTTTTATTGACCGCTTAGAGTTTCCCATAAATCTATTAAAAAAAATGAGTCATGGTTCATAATCGGTAAACAATTACGGTTTATATGAAAAACATTGATGATGTAATACCTTTCAAAAGGATACATCCACCTATATTGCACTGGACCGCCAAGTCTAGCTTCATATGCAAGATGAATTGGGAGATGTTCCATTGAATCAAAAAATGCGGGGGGAAATACTCTCTCCAACTTGCAGAGAATTAGTGGAATGTTTTCTTCCATTTTAACCAAATCGTCATACCTCAATGTGGTAGAGCACAAGTCTTTGAAGAAATGACTTATTTCGATTAGTGGATTCAAAACATGCATTGGCAATGTACTAAATGCAATAGGAAGTAAGCACTCCATGAATACATGGCAATCATGGCTTTTCATCCCATGCATCCTTCCCTTTTCAACATCAGCACATCTTGCCAAGTTTGATGAATAACCATCAGGCACCCTTAGTTCTTTTATCCAACGACAAACTGATTTCGCTTCGTCTATAGTTAAAGAGTAATTCGCTTTTGGCTTAAACATTTTTCCATTAGCTAGCGGTTTTAGTTCTAAGTCAGGCCGACTACAATACAAAGTGAGATCCATCCTTGCTTTCTCATTATCTTTTGTTTTACCACTAACATTCATGATAGTGTTCAATATGTTGTCAAAGAAATTCTTTTCTATGTGCATGACATCAAGGTTGTGTCTTAAAAGATTATCTTTCCAATAAGGAAGATTCCAAAAAATACTTTTTTTTCTCCAGTTATGAAACTCGCCGTATCCTCGTAATTTGGGCAAACGAGGATTTTCTGTGGCCATTGGTAAATCCATTACTCTGCCCCAAACCAAATCAGGTGTCATTGTAGGTGGTGGGCCATCTGTTTCAACTTTCCCTTTTAAGAAGGCTTTTTTGTTCTTCCTAAATGTATGATCATGAGGTAAAAACCTACGATGTGAGTCAAACCAACAATTTTTTCCCCCATTTTCTAACGTAAAGGCTTTTGAATACTCCATACAATGTGGACAGGCCAATTTACCTTGGGTTCCCCAACCGGACAACATCCCATATGCAGGGAAATCATTTATAGTCCACATTAAACTAGCCCTCATGTTAAAATTCTTCTTTTTTGAAATATCATATGTTTCTACACCGGTCCACAACTTCTTAAGATCGTCCACCAAAGGTTCGAGAAACACATCAATTCCTGCCTTTGGATTGCGTGGACCAGGTATTAAACAAGTTAAGAACATAAATGGCTTGGTCATGCACATCTCAGGAGGAAGATTGTATGGGGTCAGAATTACAGGCCAACAAGAATAAGGGATTGTTGATTGATAGAATGGGTTAAATCCATCAGAGCATAAACCCAACCGTACGTTGCGTGGATCCACGGCAAAGTCTGCATGTACCCGATTGAAGTGTTTCCAAGCTTCACCATCTGAGGGATGACGTAACACGCCTGAGCTATTTTTAAATTCATGATGCCAACACATGTGACCTGCAGTTTGCATTGATGCAAACAGTCTCTGCAACCTTGGAATTATAGGTAAATAGAACATTGTCTTCACTGGAACTAGTTTATTTGTGTTTGCCCCTATGTTGCGATCACGATACCTTGGCATGTCACAAAATTTGCAACAGGCTAGTGCTCCATCATTTTTCCCATATTCATTATCATAAAACAGCATGCACCCTTGTCTACAACAATCAATCTTTCTAGCAGTCAATCCAAGCTTCGATACTAATCGTTTAGCATCATAGTAATTTTTTGGCAAAGTTGTATTCATCGGAGCTATATCTAGAAGCATTTTTGTTATAAAATCTACACATTGGTCAAGGACATTCCAATTCGACTTGCATGCTAAAAGTCTAACACAAATTGATAATTTTGACTCTGATGATCCTTCAAATAATGGTTCATTTGACTCCATTAATAGGTTATAAAATTGTCGGGTTGCTTCATTCGGAGGCTCTTCAAAGTTTGTTTCTGGTATCTCAAACGACCCGTGTTGTCTAACAGCATCACGCAACATCTCATGCATCGTATTAAATGTTTCACTTTCTGTCACATGTATACCACTACTTGAAGCATCGTCGACATTACGGGAAATATTTTGTACGCCTTCCCCATGATCAGTCCAAATAAAGTATTCGGGCATAAAGCCATGCTTGTAGAGATGAACCCTCACTGTTTGAACATCATAAATCCTTGTAGACTCACATTTACTGCATGGACATCTAAGTTGTCGTTCATTAACATAACTTTCTTGTTCACAGGCTTTTCTTACAAACTCTTCAACCCCAGCTACGAAAGTAGGTTTCAAACCTCTTCTACCCTGATACATCCTATCATACATCCACCGACGACTTGAAGGAAAAGACATCATCTTCTGTATATTTACTAAATTTAAATATATTAGAACACAATGTCGTAATAATTTTCCTCTATGCATTAATTAAAATGGAGTGAATATTATTAGGGAAACAAAATTAATTAATCAAAACCTCCAATTATGGAGTAAACCTCAAGGATGACACTATACAAGTTTGGGATAACTTATACCAGCTCCTTCTAGTATGAATTGTCCTACACTGAATCCAAGACAAGACTTTGTAGATTACATTTTGATTCATTATTTAATGCAACAATGTGGGTCATAACATAAAAACACTTAAGTTAGTTTTGTTAATTCACTTTATACGGGTGTTACACAAAATATTTCAGGTATAAAAAAAATAACATTATAAGCACGTGTTTTTTGGGTAAAAAAATTGGTTCTATACTTATTAGTCATGTCGCACTTCATGATAAAAAATGTTAAAGTTGATTTTTATTTTAAGAACCATTCAAAACAGATGGGGTGACACTTTAAATCGGTAAATATACATATATTACTACATTTTATTAGTTACAAAAATTACTTTATTATATAATTTATTCACTTAAATTTTAGAATTAAATTTTATAACAAACTGTATATGTCTAATAAAAATGAATATATCATATTATAAATTAAGGTTATTAATTAAAATATTTAAATAATTAAATATTATAGTAAATAAAATATGTATAGATTATAAAGTGTGTAGGATATAAATAGTGTAGATGGGATGTTAGTATAATTAAATGTAATGTGTGGAACGTGAAGCAATGAGTAACTTAGTAGAAATAGCATGGAAGAGAAAAAAGCAAATGGTAAGAGGAGGGCCACTGCCTCTCTCTGTCCTAAAAGATATGCATGTCGGTAAAGCACTCTACACTCCGACGTCTGCTACAAATTCTATCTCTACATTTATAATTAAACTAGTAAACTAGTGTTTACGAACTCAATTGTATGTTTGCTTTATGAAAAGTAACGTAAGACCAAATCTACTTTTACAATGACTTAAATATATAATCAACAATCTAATTTTTAATATATAAAAAAAATATTCCACGTGTTAAATATTAGTTGGGCTGGTTTATATTTCTTTTAATATAAGTATAAAAAAACTAAATTTGTTATGACCATATATAAAATATTGAGATCACCATACATTATAAATAGAAGTTATAAAAAGAGGTTTGACAAACTATAATATTTAGAATCCACCGTAGATACTATATTAATCACACAAATAGCCACCCGTATAAAGTGAATTAAAAAAA